CCAAGCAATCAGGTTGCCCAGAGCCAAACAGAGAGGCCAAGTGTGCCGAAAAAAGCCAACAGGGCTATAGCCCCTTTCCTACGGGAACTGAAATGAAGCCATGGCCTTCTCCAGAGCTGCACTTCCTAACTCGAAGGTGCCTAGCGGTTGCTGGGTCTTGAACAGACATGGGCCATGTTTAGGCAGTGTGAAAAGCAGCCTGGGTTCTGCCTGTCAGATGAGCTCAGATGAAGCAAGCCTGAGCCGCCCTCTAGGGACCACACTGGGCAGCAAGAACTGACATCCAGCCCTGAAGATAGAGACACGTATTCCCACGGCTGAGGGGCTCTTCTGGGGGAGTTCAGGATCATTTTGTGTTGGTTACTTTCAAACCACTGAAACCTCAGTACCTGTCAGAAACGACATAGGAGTAGAAGCTTCAGGCTGTAGAGAATCAGAGTTCAGTTCCCAGCACCCAGGTTGGGTGGCTCTCAACCACCTGTTACTCCAGCTCCAAGGGAATCTGTTACTTCTGACCTCTTTGGGTACCTGCATCCACATTAATATAATCCCCACACAGATACATGAAAATATAAACCACTGAAAATATAAATAAACCTGTCAGTGGTGGTGCATGCCTTTAATTCCAGCAATAGGGAGGCAGAGGCAGATGGGTCTCTGTGAGTTCAATGCTAGCCTGGTCTACAGAGTAAGTTCGAGGACAGCTGGGATGTTACACAGAGAAACCCTATCTCAGAAAACACGCATGCACACATATGTGTGTGTGTGTGTTTGTGTGTGTGTGTGTGTGTGTTGCTTTTTTTTTCTGTGACAGAATTTGTTTTTTCAGACAAGGTTGTGATGGTAGATGTCCTTCTGTATATATGTTTCTCTTATTGGTTGATGAATAAAACACTGATTGGCCAGTAGCCAGGCAGGAAGTATAGGCAGGGCTACGAGAGGAAGGATTAATTTTTTTTTTAAGATTTAGAAAAGATTTTTTTTTTTTTTGGCTCATGGTTTTAGAGTTTATTTAGTCTATCATGGTAAGGAAGGCATGGTAGAGATCGCAATTCAAGTCAGCCAGAGTATGTGACTGTTCACATCATGGTAAACCAAGGATCAGAGAGAATAGGGCAAGAACCAGGGGCCATCAGGTACAACTTTCAGTGGTGAATTCCTTCTAGCCCACTTCCCCCAGACAGGCCCCAGCGCCAGCTGAGAAACAAATACTCAAAACATGAGCCTGTCAACATTTCAGCTTCAAACAGCTTTCCATTCTGCCTTCTCTTCCTAGAGCCCCATCTCCAAACCAGGTTGGATTATTTGGATGGTCTCGGCCTCTGTGAGCTTGCTTTGGCTTCATTAGACCTACAAGTGCTCTGACACAATAGAGTCCCTTTGACAACTCAGTAAAATCTACCTGTCTCCCACATGGCAGGTCCCTAACTGAATGCCAGACTTTGGGAAACTCTCATCCCATTTCCAGGAAATCCAGACCCTACTCTCCAGAATCTCTGAAAACCTGGAGCCAAGTTAATTATAAATGACTGTCACAGCCAGTTTCTCTAGCACAGCAGCCACGATCACCCCACTGTGTACCACCTGCCCGTCATCATTCCTAATAGAAAACTACTAACACAGATGGTTGTGTATGGCTGGGGGTTTCAGAGGATAAAACAGCATGCAGAAAAAGCAACTGCAAACCCAACGTCAAGTGTCCAGATACATGCATGCATCGGAGGTTTCCTGGAGCAGGGAGTTTCAGAATGCCTCCTTGGGCTTCATCTATCTCCCTTCCTCTGGCCTCTCTTTCTATCTTCCACACATATTGGGCCTCACCCTCTTGCTTCCTGGCTGCCTCCTACATTCAAAGTCCTTCCCGCTTCTTCCCTAGAGCCATCTGTTTCCCTCTAGGCCACAACTTCCTCATCAATAGTCCTGTTCTCCCTGCTCCCCCAGGACAGATGCCAGCCTGATCATCACAAACACATTAGGTGTACAAAGTAGACAGGAACTCTTTCAACCAGTCAAGGCCCTGTGTGTCTGGGCAGAGTTTGTTTGAACTTGTTTCCAACAAGCTGGTGACTCTTGCAGAAGCCAGCCTCTTCCATGCTTAAGCCAAGTGTCAAGATGAAAAACATCACACAACAGATCTTCATGAAGACAGACTGCAAGTCTCCATTTGTGCTTTCATTTTGAATTAACACTTCCCCCAAAAACCACCCATCACCCTTGTCCATGGCTTCTCTGTTTTCTGAACCAGTTTTCTGTCTTCCAATCACTTAGTGAGAAACAAAATAAAACCATTGCACTAGCTAACATCTCAGTTAGTTACATTGGTAGTAAGCACATGGGTCTCCAGGCTTACTTACCAAGGGCACATGCCTTCCCCCACCAAAAGCTGGCAACTGTACCACAACAAGGAGATGGATAATATGTCAATAGTGTCACTGCCTGTTTCCCATGTACAGCAGGGTTGGAAGGCCAGCATCTAAGAGGCTTTGTACCCTAAACCTCTAAATGGTCCATGACAAGCTAGCCTAATTAGATCAGTGCCCTGCTTAGAATCCCTGGATGGTTCCACAGTGTGTATATACAGCACAAAACCCAACCATGTTACAATGATGTCCAGGGGATGTCCTACCAAACCCTGAGACAGCCTTTCACTGGCTTCATTCCAAGTAGCCCAGGGGCTCAAGTCAAGACCCAAAGATGGACATGGAAGAAGGGTTTCAGATAGTCTGACACAATATTTTGCAAAGCCTTTTTCAAAACATACAAGTATAGGTCAGACAGGGTGGCCCACACCTTTAAGCTAAGCGCTCCAGAGGCAGAGGCAGGTGGATCTCTGTGAGTTCAAGGCCAGCCTAATCTACATAGTGAGTTCCAGGACAGCCAACCCTGCTGAGAGGTGGGGAGAGGGGGGCAGGGGGGAGGAAGCATGGCTCTTCAGGGGCCAAGGGTCCTTTGAAGATGTCCACCCTCTGTGATGCTCTTGACTCTGCCTGGCCAAAGACAGGACCTCACTGACATCCCAAGACATGCTGGTAAGCACAGGGCTACCAAGATTTGCACTCAGATCTGGCTGTGCGTAGTCTCAGGGGTGACGATGGCCCCAAGCCAAGAATAGGAACAGTAACAGTAAAGGAGTACCCTCGGAAGTTCATAAGCTGGGAAAGAGGGCCACACGAGTCTCAGGGGCGACAATGGCCCCAAGCCAAGAATAGGCACAGTAACAGTAAAGGAGTACCCTCGGAAGTTCCTATGCTGGCAGCACATTCGCAGAAGACAGGAAACTGAGTGTCAACGGTCCAAACACCTGCAGGTGGAGGGTCCACAGTCTTCAGCAAGGGCCAGGGCCGTTCCCGCACAGAGCTCAAAACAGCCAGGTGCAGGCACTGCCAGATAAAACCTCAAAGGCTGGGCAAGAGCTGAACCACAGATGTTTGCCCTCTGTGCAGGGAAGAAAGCAGAGAGCAATGATGGACAGTAATGTAAGAAAACTTCACACACACACACAGTTAGAAAGTGGGTAGAGATTCAGGCTGGGGGGAGGGGGGGCTCAGTGGGTAAAAGTGCTTGCTGACAACCCTGACAATCTGAGTTCAGCCCCTGGGTTTCACACAATACAAGGAGAGAATCAAATGTCACAAGTGGTCCTCTGGCCTCCACATGCATGCACACACCACTAAATAAGCAAATGTAAAGCAAGGACAGAATGAGAGAAGAAACTAATTAAATAGAAAGATTCAATCCAGTCTGACCTGAATCATCAGCTTTTAGCATCAATTGCTTTTTTTTTTTCTGTTTTTTTGCTGTTTGTTTGTTTGTTCTATGCTGGGGATCAAATCTAGGGCCTTGTGCATTCCAGGTGAGCATTGTACCATTGAGCTACATTCCCGGCCCAATAAATATCTTTTAAAAATCAAATTATGCTCACTGAGGCATGGGAAGTGTGCTGTGAGATTGTGTCTCCTAGAAATGTCAGAGAGACTGCATCCATGAATTATTATCAACATGGCTGCCTCACCAAGACTTAAACAAGGATAACAACAGTAGACATTGCCAACGTGGAAGAGGGAAAGCTCGCAAGGCTTCAACCCTAGACAAAGAACTGTGGGCAACTGGGAAGTGCTGAGAGGGGGAGACATGGTCTTTCCTAGGGAAGAGCCCCCCAGTTAGTTATCTAATGCCAAGTTGTCAACCCTGAGACCATATACATGCAGGTAACATATGGACTAAGCAGGTAGTGTTTATGTATTTAGGAGAGAGAGAGAGAATATAACAAAGAAAAGGAGGTAATGAGTTTGAGAGAGAGAAAGAGGATCACTTCAGAGGGGCTGGTGAGAGGAAAAGGAAGTGGGGAATCTGTAATTATATTAAAAACCGAAAGCTAATGCCCAGCTTGCTTTCTCATTTTAAATGCAATCTGGAACCCAGTCCATAGACTGGTGCTGCCTACATGCCAAGAGGCTTGTCTTGGAAACTGATTCTAGATCCTGTTTTGCAAACAATCAATATTTGCTATCATAGGTGCCCTGGTTCAGAAAGACTAGGCGGGTGAAAACTATAACCCACAGGGCAGAGCTGAGGACAAAGGCCGTAATCAGAAGCAGCTGGTACCAAGACTATACCCAAGGTGGCCATGGCTAGCTAAGGATGCTAATGCAGTCTGCCTGGGGTCCAAGAGGCAGACAGTGGGTTGGCATCAGGCAAAGGGAGCAGCTGATAAGCAAGCAGAGCAGAGGAGGAAGATGCTGAGCAGCCCCCTCGGATGTGGGGATACACACAGCATATCCCATAGACCCTGCTATTTCTGTTTTAAGTACCCTGTCCTGAGTAGGTGAATAGAGCCAGCGTCTCCATGAGTGAAGAAGATCACACATGCCTTACTCCTGTGTCTGTAATAGAACCCCCATCTCACAAACCACCCAGTGACCAGCACTGGATTAATTTCAGAACGGATGCCCATTCAGAAGTCAATGTAGGCTATAAAATTGCCAGGGCTAAGCGCTCACCCGAATGGGCTCGTCTGGGAATCCGGGTTTGCTGGGTCTGTCCTGTCGCCGGGACCTCAGCAGCTGTTTGGCTTGCTTTTCTGTCAGAATTGGAGAGGCTTCTGAAAAGAATCAGGAAGAGACTTGAGAGATTCCCAACCCAGGAGTCTACACTCCATCTCAGCACTCCAGAGAGGATTTACAAGTTCGGTCTTGGTTAAAACACAAAGAGGAAACTGTCCCGAAGGATGTGTCAAAAGCTTCAGGATTTAAATCTATTTAAAGTGGACATTTATGTAATGTGAGTGTGTGTGTGGGGGGGTGTTGCTTGTTTGTTTTTGATTGTTTTAAGGCAAGGTCTTTTGGCTAGCTGGCCTTAAACTCAATGTCTAGTTGGGCTGGCCTTGAACTTCTGATCCTCCGAATGCTAGAATTACAGTGGTTTGCCACCACAACCCATTAACATGGTCCTGGCACTAAACACGGGACTTCTTCACACATGCTAGGCAAGTGCTCTGCCAACTGAGCTATCTCCAGCCCTGAATGTGGCTTTAAAGAAACATGTTTTTCTCATCCTTTTGTCTATGTTTAATTCAGTCTTCACACATTCCACCCAGAAGTTATGATCATAAAATTGCTAATGGTGAGGGAGGCTCATTGAGACATTAAAAGGCATTAGCATAATAAAAGAATATCAAGCTTCTGTGATCAACTATAATCATAAAGAAGATGTAATTGAAGGCTCATCAGCATTTTTGAAGATAGTACTCAAACACATCCTAAGACTTTTCAAAGAAAGTGATTTGCCTCCCTTTTAAATAGTAGAAATTCTAGAAGCTTGCTCTTACAAAAAGAAAGTGCATCAAAATATCAATATACACTATGTATGATCACGTCAGTGCAAAAGTAAGCCATGTCCTTGGGGAGAGAACCTACCTGAGGAGAAGACCAGCAGAGTGAGAACAAGGACCAACACAAACCGCTTTTCCATGATGCCAGGCTCCTCTCCCCTGACTGAACACTCCGGACTCTTCTTAAAGAGGTCCCATCAGTCCCAATGCCGTGTAGACTCACTAACACCGTTTGCCACGTGATGCTGAGCGTATCTGACTCGGAGTTCATAATAATGACTGTTAAACTATTTCCCTCCAAATTCCTGTGACTTTTCATCCTGAGACAGGAAATGATCCCTCTGTAATGTGACCTCCTGAGTGTGGTTTTGAGAATATCCATTTCCTGTAAACAGATCTATCTAGTACATTCTGCAACATTTCTGAATATTTCTCTAAAGCCTTGGCTTATTTTCTGTTCTACGGGTAGCACTCATTCCTTTTTTGACATCTGGTTATTTTGTGTGTATGGGTGTGGGTACATGGGTGTTCACATGGCTCTGAACAAGTATGGAGTCAGGGGCCAACATGTAGGAGTCAGTTCTCTCCTTCCACTGTGTAGGTCCTGGGGGTTGAACTCAGGTCATCAAAGGTTGTCAGGCTTGGCAGCAAGCTCCTTTACCTACATATCTCACCAGCCACAATCCTCTCTTATATTTGCATATTTCATTAGTGGATTTTGGGAAAATGTTATAAATCTAAGTTCATCACACACACACACACACACACACACACACATACACACACACATGCACCCTGATAATTTCAGAGGTAGATAAGCAAGGAGCATAATGAAGAGAATAAAAAGATTTTCTCTCTGGGTTTGGAGCCAAAAAGACCACCCTTTGAATTATGACTTTACCTTTCTCTCTATTATCTATCCATCTATCTATCTCTCATTCACTCACTGCTCCTCCTTTAGGTACGCTGGTAAGTCATTTAACTTCTTCTCAGAGAAGGAAGCAGCAAACCCCACTTTGTGGGCGTGGTGAAACACTGGAGACATGCATGAACTCACAGCAGCTGTGACCACTCACTCTCTGCCTTCTCTTTCTTAAAATTGAGAAAACTGAGATCTAGAGATGGGAAACCGAGTCCAAGTTCACACATGCATACTGGGGAGAATCTAAATCCGTCTCCACACTTACCCTGTGTGTTCTCATTATGCTCCAAGCCACACCTTAGATGCATACTGTCTATAAAGATCCCTGTGTTAAAGACGTAACCCCCAAAATGCCAGACTTGGGGGAACTCCCTTTAAGATGTGGAATCTAGCCCAGATATAATAAGTGGTACATACTTTAATCTCTGCAGCCACCTTGCCCCAAATGAACACATAGACGCTATATTAGTTATGAAACTGTTAGCTGATGGTTTGGGCTTTTTATTAGCTAGCTGTCTTAATCATTAACCCATTCCTATTACTCTAAGTATTTTTCCATATGGTCTTATCTTATTAGAGAAGGGTCTGGTGTGTCCTGCCTTCCCCATCTCACATTGCATCTGCTGACTGCCTACACATCCCAGAATTCTCCTCCTCTGGTAGCCCTGCCTATCCTTCCTGCCTGGCCACTAGCCACACAGTGTTTTATTCATCAATCAATAAGAGAAACATATTCACAGAAGGACAACCCCCATCAGACCTCCGTGAGTTGGAGGTCAGCCTGATCTACATAGAGTTTTAGGACAGCCAGAGCTATGTAGATAGACTCTGTCCAAAAAAAAAAAAAAAAAGCTAGGCAGTAGTGGCACACATCTTTAATCCCCACACTCTGAGCACTCTGGAAGCAGAGGCAGGTGGATCTCTGTGAGTTCAAGGCCAGCCTGGTCTACAGAGTGAGTTTCAAGATATTCAGGGTTACACGGAGAAACCTTGTCTTGGAAAACAACAAAACAGAAAAATGTGGAGGCTACAAGGGAAGTCCTAAGGTCACTTAGGAACTTGTCCTTGATTGGGGATTGTGGGGCCTGGTTCTGTTCCTCGTTCGCTTTTGCTCCTGGATCACTTGATCTATCCTATCCACTCTGTGCTCCTGCTGTAATATGCCACCTCACCATAGGCCCAAAGAGTCATGTGCTAGAACCCCCTAAACCTTCCGAATGTCCTCAGCCTTTAAAACAGTTCCTCAGGTTGTGGTGACCCAGACCCACAGAATTATTTTGTTGCTACTTCATAACTATGATTTTGCAAGTGATGTAAATATCTGACATCTAACCCCTGTGAAAGAGCCATTTGACCCCCCCCCAAAAAAGGATCGAAACTCACAGGTTGAGAACTACCGCTATAAACTGGCAAAAAAAAATCTTTCTCAAGACTGGAGCAATATCTCGGCAATTAAGAGCACCTGCTGTTCTTGGGAAGACCCCAGATTCAGTTCCCAGTACCCATATCCATAACTCCAGTCAAGCACACATATGCTACACATGCATGCATCCAGGCAAAACATCCATATACAAAGTAAAATAAATCTAAAATGTCTCTTAAGGAAAAGAAGCCATGAATTGGAAAGAGAGCAAGGTGGGAGGGTACACAGGATTTGGAGGGGAAAAAAGGGAAGGGGGAAGTGTAATTACTTTATAATCTTAAAACTTTTTTAAAGAAACTTTTTGTCTTTAAAAATTGATCTTCTCCAAGCCAGGTGGTGGCGGCACGTGCTTTAATCCCAGCACTCGGGATACAGAGACAGGTGGATCTCTGTGAGGCCAGCCTGGTCTACAGAGTGCCAGGACAAAAAAAAAAAAAAAAAAAAAAAAAAAAAAACGATCTCAGATATTGCATCACAGGAACATAAATCTGACTAACTCACTCATAACACACCCCTTCCTGTACATGACTTGGGGAGATATCAGGAAGACCACAAGCAGCCCTCACCAGACTTGAGGGTATTTTCACAAAGGTAAGTAACCCTGCAGGGTGTGGTGGCACACTACAGGAACCCCAGCTTCTGCTGAGTAGAAGAAGGACCAGGAGAATTCAAGGTACTCTCCACCAGATAATGTTGTGGTTCAAGACTCTGAAACAACCCAAGCAGACACAAGTCATTAGTTACCTAGAGGCAAGATTTAATGCAGGACAGCACAAAAGAAGCTAGGAAGGGGAGGTGATTGGATCAGGACACCAAATGCCAATTGAAGCAACTATTTAAGCACAAAGATCACAAGCATTTGTTGCCAGGTTACCGTTACAAGTTTCAGGGATCATGACTTAAAGATGGGGACTTCCTTGAATGTTCCACGGTTGTCAACCGTTGCAGATACAATGTAAAATTTCAGTCCAGCCTATCAGATTCATCTGTTTAGAACAGCTACAATGTTTCTATGGTTTAAGGAGGAGGTAGGTCAGCTATGACAAAGCTCTCAGCTCCCCTGGGGCTTGGGTAACTGAACTTTGTTTCATCAAACAGGTAAAATGGAATCTGAAGTCAAAATGGCAGCACGGGGCAAGGTGCTTTTGCCTCTTCCCAGAAAGGAAATTCAGTGCAACCCTGAATCTCAACTGAAGAGGAGGAGAGTCCAACACGCTGCTGAAGTTCTGAGGTCCATCAGTAGGTATTACATGAAGAAATCATTAGATACATAACAAATTATAGCTAGAAAGGATGTGGCTTTTCTTGTATAAATCTCTCCATTCAGAGTAATGAGCTGCTGTCCTGTGGTCACTTTGCCAGCTCCAAAGAAAACAGAACCTGACCCAAAGTTGTTGGAGTTTATTCTAATGCTGGGTAACTGATATGAAACTGAAATGTCCTCAAAAAGAAAAGGAAGAAGAAAAATAAACAAAATTTAAAATTGAAATATTCTGGCCACTGGGTTGGCATTTCTAGCAGACTGCAAACAGGGACATGCATGGTCAGTAGAAGAGTCTTCAAATGCTTCCCCCACACATACACACCCGTGTCTCCCTCTTAGAGATAGGGTCTCACTGTGTAGCCCTGGCTGTCCTGGAACTCATTCTGTAGACCAGGCTGGCCTCAAACCCACAGAGATCCACCTGCTTCCTGCAGGATGGGATTAAAGTTGTGAGACCCCACATGCAGTTACCCATTCATTTCTCAAAACATGGGGTTTGGTTTTAGGAGTACAGCTGCTGCTAGCATCCTTCTGTTTAATATAGTTCTCAAGAACCTCGAAGATGGCTCAGTGGTTAGAAGCCTTGTACCAGGCTTTTTCTTTTTGGGCCACCACCCAGCTCCCAAGTCAGGACACAGAGACTTCTTATTAGTTATGAATGCTCAGCTTTAAACTGTGTTCATTTCTGGCTAGCCTTTGTTTCTTTAACTTAAATTAACCTATTTCTTTTCGTCTACATTTTGCCTCAGGGCTTTTTTACCTCTCTTTCTGTATGTCTTAATTTCCTGCTTCCTCCAGTGTCTGGCTGGCTTCTGGCCCCAGGCATGTCCCTCTCTTTCCCCCTCATTCTCTTCTCTTCTCCTCTCTCATTCTCATCTCCTATTTATTCTCTCTGCCCATCAACTCTGCCTAACCCTCTTCTTCCTAGCTATTGGCCATTCACCTTTTTTAGTAAACCAATAAGGTGCCTTAGGCAGGCGAAGTAAAAGAGCAATACATCTTTACATATTTAGACAAATGCAGCATAAACAAATATAACATATCTTTACATCATTAACAAAGGCAGCGTAAACAAATGTAACACATCTTTGACCGTTAAAATAATATTCCCAGCTCCTCTTCCAGAGAACCGTGGCATCTTGGGTTTTGTTTTTGTTTTTTTGTTTGTTTGTTTGTTTTGTTTTGTTTTTTGCAGATACTTTTCTTTTTCATTTCTTCTGCTCTTTGTTCTACCCAATCACAAAGAGCAGAACTCCTTAGTGTCACAAGGCATGATACATGTTTGTGTTTAAAACTGAGTTTGCAGTAAAGCCGAACCCTTGAAGCACATGGAAGCGCAGGCAGGGAGGCCTTGAATTAATTATACCTTTGGTTCTGAATTGGGCTTTGGTTGTTGTGCACTCAGAAACCTTTTACTGCCACCAAATATTCCACCAGCCAACACTGGGATAGGGTCGCAGCTCCTGCTGTGACAAGCTAAGATCTGGGAGAAGGTGACTCTCTTTCAGCAAGAGGACAGCAGCAGATGTGGCACAGATGGGGTGTGCAGTGTGTTTGTGAAGTTAGTCATTCA